TGTTGAGGCATGATCATCTAATACTTTTCGTAATTCGAGTTCAACTTCATTCAAACGTTCACGAAGTAAACTTTTTTCGTCATCATGTTGAGAAAGCTTCTGTTGGAGTTGGCGTATTTGCATTTCGTAGTTTTCAATATTTGTTTGACTAAAATATACCATTATTACTGAATTCATTGAAGAAATACAAGCACGCCTGCTCTACCTGATTTCGTCGGATGGTGGAGTTGCACAAACAAGTTGTTGACCTTGTACTGGTCGTTCATTTTCTAACTGATAACGACAAGCATCCAAAGAACTATAAAACAGCAATTAAAGTTCAATCCTCGAATTCTGATAGGATCAATTATTTACCTTTGAAGTTCTAGAATTTGGTTTCGAAGTTGTTCTTGTGATTGTTCGTTTTCACTTTGTAGTATATCAATATGTGTTGCTTGATGTTCTACAGTGGCTATCAAATGATCAAATCGTTCAGTTGTTTCTTCGCCAACGTCAGTAAATAATTCGGGTCTTTCAGTTACTAGTCGATGAATTTTATCTTTAAATGTTTGTAGTGCACGTTTGAGTTTAGTGTTCACTTTGCCTAGTTTATCATCTGCGCGTTTCTCATTTTCAGATAATTGAACTGGTGAAGCTGTACTCTTTTGTATATCTTCCAAAAGATTTGTACGTTCAAGACTAAGACGTTCAATTTGATTTTTATAATTATTCATTTGTTCTTCAATTTCTTTCCTAATTTAATATTAGGAAAACTTATAGCATTCAATAAAAATTAAAAATCTGCTAAATTATTACTTCTGTCTATCAAATTCAGTTTGTGATTCAAGTTGAGATGATGTTAAAGTAACAAAGTTTTCATTGAGACGTTTCAGTTGCTCAGATTGTTGTTCGATTGTTTCGTGCAATGAATTTATACTAAAAGAATATAATATTGAAATTTAAAGAGAAATCTCAAAGTAAAAAATAATTGAACAGTCTTCTAAAATATTCCTGCTTCCAATGTATGTTCTTAGCTGTATAAAATGATGCTATTGTTCTAGTAGAGATTATATTTAACATTAAATTATTCAAATTTAAATAACTTATAGTTGATCGAATATTTCATAGTTATTGTTTGATTTTATTTTGTTTTGTTTGAAAATGTAATCATCAAATGATTTTCCCTTTTTTACAAATTCAAAAACAAAATGGAGTAACAATAACACGATGCCGGACTTTTGCAATAGATTCAGTCTTGAATACTTTCTTTTCCGTTTATTAACAGTGCAATCCTCTACTTACTATTCTTCAGATGGCATTCTGCTCTGTTGAATAGCTGATAGTTGTTTCAATCGATCGAATTCTTCTCGTAACTGTTTCATCTCGTGTTGACTATAAACATAAATAGATTTCGCACGAGCATTAAAAATACAAATGAATTTTTACTTCTCATTTGATTGAAATATTTGTTGTTCAACAATTGCATCCCGTTCTGTTATAAGTGATTGCAATTGTTCGTCGTACATAGCCGTTGTTGAGGCATGATCATCTAATACTTTTCGTAATTCGAGTTCAACTTCATTCAAACGTTCACGAAGTAAACTTTTTTCGTCATCATGTTGAGAAAGCTTCTGTTGGAGTTGGCGTATTTGC